TGCGTGGGAAGAGTACCTAGCTTGGCTAGGCAGCAACCAAGGGAGAGCACAGCCTACAATTATTCACAAGTACAAGGAAAGTATTGCGGGGGTGCAGTAAGGAACAAAACAAGAAAGCATACATGACGTAGCAGTAAGAAAATCTGAACTGGACTCTTAAAGATAGAGGTTGCCAATGAGTGGGTGGCCAGGCACACAGACCTGAATCACCATGCGTGAAAGAGTGGCGAGCACAGCCTGATGTCAGTGGAGGACCCTGGTGGTCCACCTAGTGTGGTGGCACAGCGTTACTGAGAGGTGTAAGAATCCATTAGCTTCCTAGGAAAACCACTCCTGCTAGCACTCCCTGAAACAAAATAATCACCTGAATCGAATGGAGTGGTACTGAAATGCTTCTGAGTGTCTGAGTGGTGCTACGGCCTTTTATCGGGCTGATATAGCTCAAGTAGTAACAAATCAGACGAGCTTTCGAGCATGTATGCCCTCTTCAGGTCTGACACAGGGTGGGGTGCTGGAGAAGATCTCATGAAGCACCTGTCTGCAATTCCAGGTTTTGAGGGTGTGAGAGGCACTGTTTGATGGAAAAGCCTCCCATGGGACATGGAAGTCCTGCTGGCTAGAGTATCTAAAACTAGGCAAAGCACTAGCAAAGGTACTTTAGTTTATAAGCATATGCCAGGAGAAAAAGGGAACAGATGGGACCCCATAAATCTTTACCATCTCTAGTTCTCATGAGCTCCTTTTCTAATTTGTATTGCCCCATGCCTGCATGCTATATACATAAGGGACTCAGCAGAAGGATGACCCTACCAATATTTGTAAAAATGTCACTTATGCCTTTGTCTGGTTAAAGAAATAATGACACCAATAATAGTAGTAGTGTGAACTGGGGGCTCTGAAGAGACACAAGCTCTGGGCCAGAAGAAGCAGGGCTTGGGAAACCCATGATGAGCAAGAGTCCTCCGCCTGGGCTGGCCTTCCGAAAGGGGGAGGACAACAAACACCAGAGCCTGAGTTTTGCTTCTGGTTCTGGGTGTTTTTGTATCTTTGTTAAGAAACTAGTTAGAGTTTTACCAGGTCTCTGTACTTGCTCAGCCATCCTGTTTTTATGGCAGAGGGCCTTAGGCTAAAGAGCAAGAGGGCCACTTACGCCCAGCTGCTCAGGATGGGCCAAATTCACTAATTTCAAGCCCTTCTAGGTTCGTTTGCTGGTTGGCTGGCCACAATCATTGAGACCAGCCATGAAACTCATCTTTAGATCCTTACATTTCAATACCACAAGTCCCAGGTTTTGTTTCCATCTCAAGTCAAAAATCATGCAGAATTCCTAAGTGTGAATAATTTACATTAGAGGATGGTGTGACAGCCAGTTAGATTAACACACTCAGATAAGTTCCTCCCCCTCAAGGATGCTTGAAGCTCAACATGACCTGATCTTACTGCTAGGAACTCTTTTTTCTTTTTTCCTTTTTTTTTTTTACCTTCTCCTTCCTCTTTTCCTACTCCTTTCTTCTTTCCTTCCTTTTTCTACCTTTTCCCTTCTTCCTTCCTTGCAGTACACTGTCATCTCTCCTTGCCCTTAGTTAGTGCAAAGCCCTGTTTTATCTCAACAGAACAGGATTCAGACAAGATGACCCGGAGTGGGTGCTCATGGCTCCCAGACCTCCTTCAGTCAGCACTTAGCCCAACAACTCTCTTCCTCACGCAGCTTTTTGTCAAGGCTTGCTCTGGATTTGATTCCCCCCAGCCTTCAGGACTGCATCCCGCCAGTTTGATACAGTGCAATGCCAATTATTTCAGCTGTGACATGCGAGGATAAAGTTGTCGGGGAGGAGGCTGAATAAGTCCCTGAGAAATCACACTGGCCAGATATTCAGAAGCACTGAAGAAACTCATTCCCTTCAAAATCAATACTGCAATGCCGTTGAGGAATCAAAGCCATGTACTTGAGCGAGAGCAGAGCTGAATATACCTGTGAACAAGTGTCCTGATCACATACTCCATGGTGCCTGATCCCCTCTCCCTTGCAATATTACAAGTCACGAGGAAATTAATTGCAGTCCACAGGGCAGTGCAATCATAAAGCATAGGTAAATGAGTGGAGAATCAGGGCCAATAAAAATACACTCATGGTGATTGAATCACTCCTTGCCAGCCCATTTTTTTCCTCTTCTATTTTTTGTCTTCTCCTCTTCATGCTTAACTTCACTTCTCAGGCTTCCTAGCACTATGGTTATTATTATTGCTATTATTATTATCATCATTGTTGCTTTGTGGGCTGAGAGTTGCAGATCTTGAGAATAAAGCAGATGTCAGCAGCTCCGAAGGATCCTATTCTATTACACAGCAGAACAAATGAGTATGTCAAGGAAGGGCTTTCCAATCTAACAAGAAAACAGCACAAACAGACACAAAATAAATAAATAAATAAACCCTGCGGGGACAGGCAGGCTAGTTCTGATTAGATATTATGCTAACATGATGCCTACTTTCTACGCTAACAGTGTTTTAATACATTTAAATGATACTGGGGAAATAAGTCATGAAATAGGAGAAGAAGCCTTCATGTCAGAAACAATTAAGATTATCCAAGGGGGCCAGACTGCCTCTCTCATGGAAACATGGCTCATGGTGTGGGATTATGAATGTAGCCCAAACGGTATTTACATAGTGTGCCCGACACCATCTCATTACCTTTGCCAATGATTGCTTTTCCCGGCTGCTGGAAGAGCAGTCCGGCTGGCGAGGAGGTGGCCAGCACCAGCGTCTGCACCACAGCAAAGGCTCCAGGAGGCCCCTCGGTTTTGCGCGGAGATGCCACGGGGGAGACGCCTGAGCAGCCGTATGAGGGGCTGGAGACAGCTGCCACGTTGGTGCCCGCACTAGACACTTGCAGAGCGTGCATGCCCGCCTCTGGCTTTCCTGCAGAGGGGCCATGAGCAAAGCTGAGCTCGTTGGAAATGCACATTTCCAGAGCAAGGCCATGCTCGCAGTCCTTAGAGTATTCTCTCTCCAAACTTTCTGAGAACGGAAAAAGCAAATCTTGCCTGACTCAACCTGTAGCCTTTCGTCTTCCTCTTCTCCCCAGCTGCCTCCCTATGCTCCCCCATCCCACAGATAGGAAGATCTTTTTTCTCTGGAAGGACTTACATAAAAACCTGAATACACTTGTCAAGCTCCATGCAGTGATGTTAATGTTGCTTGTGAAACGGCGGCCTTGGGAGACCCTCCATTTCCCAAGTCTTCACAGCCCTGGTAAATGGCCATTTATTAGCTGCAGCCCATAATTTCCTTCCTCCTGTGACCCATCGTGTAATTTTCCTTGAGATGACAAGCTACGAATGAAAAGTGTACTCGTTTTCCAGCTATAGCATATAAAATATGGATATGGGCGTGAAATCCTGAATCCATCAAGAAAGCAGAGACTTTCCTTTTAGGACCTAAGGCTCTAAGGACCCAGAGCTGGGCTGAAGCCTCCATACCCTGTGAGCTGGAGCCTGCTCAGGCACAGAGTAATGATACCTATCCCAATTACCAGTAACTTGATTCACCCAAGTGCTCTGACAGATGAGCTTTGACGAACCCCACAGCAGTAGTTTAAGAACTTCCTGGTGACCCTCCTCCCACTACTCCCTTTGCAGGTTCGGCAGATGGGAATGTGTGTCCTCCCGTGGCTCCGCCATGGCGGAGTCTGGTGCGTTAGCTTAAAAGCACTGAGACACCAGATGATGAACTGGAGCTGCTGAGACTTTCTGTCACAGGGGCAATAACTTGTGGCTGATGGACGAGGCAGACAGCTGGATATGAAAGTAGCCTAAACTGCCACAAAAAGACTTGCCAGCTCATCTGTCAACCCTAAGTGAGCGGTGAATCAAACTGCATTACCTTCTGCTCAATACTGCAGAGCAGGAGTTGTCAGGAAGATCACACCCAGTACACACAGGGGGGCAACTTACAACCCAGCCCTCATTTTAAGACGCTATGGAGAAAGTGAGCAGAGGAGAGACCGTACGTGAGAAAACAAGAAGAGGACTTCAGGATGGCCTAACACACAACTTTATATCTTTAAACCAAACCCTGTATACAAAGAAACTATGGCCAATAGCAAGCTAGAGTCATTGCAGACTAAAACCAGCTCAGAGCTTTGATTCTGTGGAGCTGAGGACTTGGGGATGCTGTGCTGCATAAATTCCCCTACAGAGACGATGGCTACCACCAGTCTGTGGATGAATTCACTTGGGAATTTTCCTCAAACACTGAGGCCAGTGAATGACAGCATCGGTGGACCTGGGAGTATGATCTCGTTTGGTTTAGCAGAGCACCAATAGATACTGCTCTATCATAAGCCAGCTCATGGAGGTAGGCAGGGGCCTGACATCTGAGCCTTGGTGGAGAGAGGATTGAATCATGTTCCCATCTGTCCTCTGCCACATTTCTTCTGTGCCTGTAACTCACCCATGCTCCATCTTCCCTTGCCCGTAAAGCAAGACCAGTGAAGCTATTCACCTTTTAAAAACACTTTGAGATCAATGGGTAGAAATCTTCTCTGAGAACAAGTGGCATTATACTGAAGTCATCCAACAAGAATTTCTTGGGGCAATGGGCACAGCCCTGACAGGGGTAAGAAAGGCAGTTGAAGTGAAGCTCTGTGGAGCTGAACATTTGACTACAATCTGCAGAAATGGAAACATCTTCTCCCCCTCAGCCTTCAATATCAGGCACTCTTCAGGAGTCCACTCTTCTGGAAATGCATACACTTGCTAAGCCATATGGACTTTTAAGTGCTTTACGGGGTCCTACTATGACCTCTGATCTTATTTAAAATCTTGTGCATAACTGTGCACAATGAAATTAGACCCCATCAAAAATGGTGCAAGATAGTTCATATCTCATACAGTTTTGACCTCAGGACACTGCATACACATTCAGACTTCTCTGCATCTAACACCTTCCAGACGTATTCTCAAATTTTTCTGAAAACCAGGAGAGCTAGAAGCACTTTTTTAAGGGAATGCTGTAATTTTACATAATCATGACTCCAGAAGAACTCCAGGCTCCCTAACAAGATATAAGGCTTATCCTAACCCTGCAGAAATGAGCACATAGGCAGCAGAAGAAAGAGTAAATGAGAATGTGAATTATAACATGCAATTTCATAGACACGCAATTTTTCTGCTTTTTCCCCCCTTCTTTAAATGTAGCCCTAAAGTGGAGTTTTCTTGAGAAGACAATCAGAAAAACTGCAGCCTGAGAGGAATCTAAAGAAGCATCCTTACAAATACGCCTATCTGAATACATATGTATACATATATATATATATATATAAATGTCAGGCATGGTCCTAGATACAAATAGGAATGGTCTGAGTTCATGAAGAAATCCTGAAAAGATAACGGAGGTTATTTTATCCTACAGGGAGGCTGTGTTCTCAGCTTGGACTGAGCCCTGACCAGCCAGTCTTCTTGGTAAGTCTTCTTCCTTTCAAACAAGGGACCACCCAACTGAGCAGTTTGAGAACCAGTTGGTTCTGATGTTACTGATGAACAGTTAACATGCAGTAACAAATAACAGCATGGGGAAACTAAGGAGAAAATAGGGGGTGCAGGCAGGAAAGATAACTGTGGGCAACTGACAGATTTCATATTGAGAAAGATATGAGGAAACACATTCAAGAAGAGGATGCAAAAACAACTCTAGAGCCTACAGCAGGAGACAGAGGTCAAAATTACGGGAATAGAAGGAGACGAACGTCCAGCAGTTTGTGACACAGACGGTTTAAGTTTAAAGAGGTTCTCAAAAATCAGGGGGGCAGTGCTACATAGCCTCAGTGGGATGGGGGAAGGTGGTCAATGGAGATGACTGAGAATGCAGAAGACCCAACACCACCTTCCATATGCTCAGGGCTAGAGAGCCAGAGGTCTGGAGATTGAGGGAGAAGCAGCTGCTGGGGTACAGAGGAGGTTAAAGCCTGCGCAGAGATGGAGCCTAGGATATGGTGTGAACTTCTGTGGGAAGGGAAAGGCTTTTTAGACACCTGATTGTATTCCCTGGAAATATTTTGCAAGGAAAAACAAATTGTTAGGCCTAAGTGACTTCAAGTAAATCAATTTGCCTCCTTTGCCAGGAATGACCATACAACTCACAGGAGCCAGTGTAAAGCCAGTTACAGCTGGCCCGAGCTATACAAGTGGAAATAAATTGGTTGGTCTGCAACCCTGAATGCTCTGCACGCTAGTGATACCCTTGCTGCTCGTTCCAGGCATTAAAGTTGTTTGAATTTTCATTATGCTTTTTCATTATTAGTCCGTTAGTTTTAGTCCCTGTTTACAAGGGAGTAAGAACACAGGGAGCGCAACAAGC